AGGCAAGTGAGTCTGTCAAATGCCATTATAGGAAAAGCCGACAACCCACCCCCGTATCACAGGAATTCAACAGGGATTTGTTTTGAAGCATTTTTTAGTTTGGACTGAAAATGAACAAGAAGATGGCATGTGAACAAAAGAGATAAAGAAGATTTAAGCACCAGAAGAAAGACCCAGAAAATGATCCCAGTGAGCAAAAGATCACAGAGAAAAATAACAAGTACACAGGGCAATAAGATCAAAATCAGATTACTTAATAAAAGCTAACGTTTCTTTAAATGGAAAACAATGCACATTGTTTGTCCTTGAAATGTGACAAGTACTCCTTTTTCAAGAATGCCAAGGCACTCCAAAGCAACAGCCCATATCTGACAAAGCCCCACTGCCCTAGAGCCCTGGAGGTCATTGTTCCTATTCAATATTAGGAAGTTTGATTGAATAGATGCCTCAGAACTTAGCAGTCACTTGAAATAGAAAACCCCAGAAAATAAACATATGCAGGGAGAGGTAGAATTTGAATTAGGCAAAGGCCCAGCCCACCTGGTCAATAATGAAATAATTGCTCAAGGCACGTTCTTCTGTCATCTTTCGCAATGTAACAACAATTCTGTGCCCTACCTCTCTCAATGCTGCCTCCACATTTGCAAAAATCTCAGGGCCTCCCAAAGACACTGATTCAGAAGCCAGTCACTTTCCTAATGCCACAAAAATAGATTCAATTCTATATACATCATGGTGATTTCAGAAGCAATTTCTCATCTCCAGTGTAAGCATTACTTACATTTTTCCCCCTCAAATCTCATCCCAATGGTTCCACAGGGCATTTTAAAAGGTACCTGATGCATTCTAGGGCAGTCAAAAGATCCTGAGAGTGTTTTTGCAGCTGTAGCCTGAGGACATCAGACGCATAGAGAGTCGTAAAGTATTCAGTGATTCAGACAAATGCAAAATTTCCTAATAACTGAGTATAATAAGTCAATCATTTTTTAATCTTTTAGAAAGCATTATTATTATAATGAATGTGTATATAGTCATATATGCAGACTTGTATGTATAGGACTGTGTAGGTTTATACATCTCTGTATTTATGTGTGTGTGTAAATACAAAACATACATGCATACACATACATACACACCTCAATCATTTGGAAAGTTTGTCCCTGGCCTTTTAAACGTCTAATTAGATTTCATTGGCGATTTCTCCTCTTCCTTTATGGCAAGTTAATTTATTTCTGTCTTAGGTGTTTCCTTCTTAAGGGTCTAAGTTTTGGCCCGTAGTGAACAGTGATAACTTTCTCCTTTCAAACACAAGAAACCTGTGTTACCAGGTTCGCATTTGAGATCAGAAAGATCGAAAACTAATTTCTAAAATTTCAGAGTCACAGTGATTGTCATGAATTTTTGGCCATAATCATTTTGGTTTTCAGAGTCCTCCTGGGGCACGTTTACAAATGGAAAAAAGCCTTCACAAGAGGCCAAAAGCGTACACAAGAGGCAAGACTGGCAAGAAAAGGAGGAATAGGTATCACTGGCCAGGATTTTCAATCAGATAAACTTGCAAATGAATTTCTCTGCCCCAGGGCCAAAAGCAGGGCATTGAGTGACAACTTAGCATAGCCAGAGACTCAGTGAGCTCATGATGAGGCTTTCTCTTTTTTCTATTATTGACATATATTAATTATATATATTTATGGAGTATAGTGTGATACATGTATATAATGTATAATAATCAGGGCATTTAATATATCTATCACCTCAAAATGTATCATTCCTTTGTGTTCGGAACATTCAAAATCCACTCTTCTAGCTATTTGAAAATATATAATAAACTGTTTTTAATTATAGCCTCCCTGCAGTACAATAGAACACTAGAACTGATTCCACCAGCTACCTGCAATTTTGCAACAGAGGTTGGCAAACAGATGCAAAATTGTAGCTAGAATGTTCCTTCTTTTAAGGAAAAATCAAGCCCATTTTCTTTTCAACCTCTCCTAACCTGTCCTGGTTTACATCAAAACCAATTTCCCCACTTCTAGGAAATGTATGAGTCTCAGTGATTTATCTGGATTGAAAATCAAAAAAAGGACTGGCTTCATGGTTAGGCAAACCACAAATTTGCTCTGATCCCTAAGAAAAACAGATGTTAAATATTTGCTTATAATCAGTATGCATCATTAGATTTGTCTTTAAAAGCCAGTATCTAACCTGAAGAAAAACTCAAACTTGCCATGATCAGTAATGCACTGAGTGGTATTATGTGTCTATTAAAATGATGGAAAGGTAAGTATGCCATATCAGCTATGTCACATTTTTGGCAAAATGTTTAACCTGAATGTAATCATGATAAAAACAAAAAAAAAATCAGACAAATCTGGATTGTGGAACATGGCAGGATGATAGCCCTATATTTCAAAAAAAAAAAAAAGTTCATATTCTGAAAGAAAAAATAAAGTTGAGAGGGCTGTTCTAGATGAAAGAAGATAGACACCTGAAAACCAAATACAACGTGAGCACTTTGATTGAATCCTGGATTAAAAAAACAAACAAGCAATAGAGAACATATGGAGGCCACTGAGGCAACCTGACTGTGAACTGGTTTGTGAGATCACTGAATTAAGGTTATACTTTATTGTGGTTATGTTGAAGGGCTGCCCTAGTTCTTAGGAGACACATGCTGAATTCTTTGGGGGCAGAGTGTCATGAGGCCTGCAACTTATCTCTAAATGGTTCAGAAAATTTTGGAAAAAAAAAAATGGATACAGGAGAAAGAGAGAGAGTGAGTACAGACAAGTGCAAAACTGCAAATGTTGCAAAATGTTAGCAATTGGTGAATTAGGCACAGGGTATGTGAGTATTCACTTTGCTGTCTTCTCAACTATTTTTGTAGGTTTCAACGAATCTCTTTCCAAAGACAGCATATCAGTATCTGAGCGTAGCTACTGCCTCTGTCCAAGAGCTATAATCTAAACCTTGGTGCCTATAAGAACTCCCTGAATGACTTCCAAAATCCATATCCCTCAGCTGGGCCCTACCTCTCATCCCCCAGGAGAGTTTGATTCAGGAGATGAGGTGTGGGGCTCAGATTTGTATGCGTTGAAAACCTCCTCAGGTGGGTTCTCTGCTGCACTGGAGCTTAGGAATCATGGGTCTAAGTTACTATCAGATCTGGACGCATTAAAAACAAGCTGTGTGGCTCTGGGATGGGTGGCCAAACACACTTAGCCTTGCACATCTTGCAAAAGTACTAAGGATCTTACAGGATTAGGGTGAGGAGGAAAGGAGAGACAGTGTCTACATTATAGAAGGGGGCAAATAAGTATTTGTTTGCCTCCCTCCCTCTCTCCCTTCCTCCCTCCCTCCCTTCCTTCTTTCCTTTCCTCCCTCCTTCCCTCCTCTTTCCCTCTCTCCCCCTTCCCCACCCTCCCTCCCTCTCTCTCTCTCTCTCTCTCTCTTTCTATTTCTCTCCCTTTCCTTCCCTCCCTTCCTCCTTTTTTTGACAGAGTCTTGCTCTGTCACTAGGCTGGAGTGCAATGGTGTGCTCTCGGCTCACTGCAATCTCTGCCTCCCATGTTCAAGCAATTCTCCTGCCTCAGCCTCTCTAGTATCTGGGATTACAGATGCATGCCACCACACCCAGCTAATTTTTGCATTATTAGTAGAAACGGGGTTTCACCATGTTGGCCAGAATGGTCTCGATCTCCTAACCTTGTGATCTGCCTGCCTTGGCCTCCCAATGTGCTGGGATTATAGGCATGAGCCACCATGCCTGGCCTTTTTTTTTTTTTTTTTTTTTTTTAAGACAGAGTCTCTCTGTGTTGCCCAGGCTAGAGTGCAGTGGCACAATCTCGGTTCACAGCAACCTTTGCCTCCTGGGTTGAAGTGATTCTCATGTCTCAGCTTCCCAGGTAGCTGGGACTACAGGCAGGTGCCACCATGCCTGGCTAATTTTTTGTATTTTTAGAAGAGACGGGGTTTCACCACATTGGCCAGGCTGCCTCAAACTCCTGACCTTGGGTGATCCACCCACCTCGGCCTCCCAAAGTGCTGGGATTATAGGCATGAGCCACCGCGCCCAGCTTTTTCTTTCTTTATCCTCTTATAGATCCCTAGCATCCCAAACTGATCCTATCTTAAATAATTTTTATAAAATGCATTTTCTTCCATTTGTAGCTTACATAGTATGTGACGGACATCTATGTATGTACACATTCTTTTAGACTATTTGCATTACCCAATTTGGCGAAGAGGTTGGGAAATCTAGTCTACTAACTGGCTGATAGCATGGTGTAAGAGCAGAAGCCAGTGTGTCCACAAGGAAGCCTTAGATGTTAGCCGTCTTGGAGTTTTTCTTAGGATAAGCGTTAACCCTGGTATCTTAACCACTCATAGCTTGAGATCCTTTATTAACTCGGCACAAGGACTCAGGTGGCCTTGACCAATGACACTTGGAACATTGACTGTGGCTTGGAACTGCCAGACATTTGAGGGACGTGGCTTCCAGTCTAGATATGTAACTCATCGGCTATTGTATTTCGGATAAGTTGCTCCTCGGAACCTCAGTTTCCTAAGCACGCACAGTGGCGACAGTCATAATCTGTGACTCACCTACCTTATGTGGTGTATGTGAAACACAGATTTGAAAATCTTAAGCCACTCAATGCAGTGTGGCATATTTTTCTCCTTAAGGACATAACCATCCTCCTCCTCTTTCTTTTTTACTGCTATTATTTTTAACCTGTCTCTATTTATGTCCACAAGGAGTTAGGATGACTTGCTCTCATTTCCATCTGATTTGGGGAAGATTTTAAAAATATTCCTTTTCACCTTAGGAAGGACTACCCCAAGTCTTTGTCAGGGAGAACCTTCATCCCAGTCCATCTCAGGGAAGCAACCAGACCCTATGCCTGGCAGCACTTGATCACTGTGTGGGGCTCACAGCAGAAGTTTTAGGGCTGAGCTGGACCACAGATGTCCCCTTCCCCTTTGTTGGCTCAACTTACTGAATCCATTGACGTCCTGAGAACTAGAAGAGAAGCCTTCATCATTGCGGCTGGCACTGAGCTTGGTGGTGGGTTTGTCAGCAGAGGCCACAGGCCCCATCTCCCTCTGGGCTCCACTCTGGGTCTCCTTCTGCTTCTTGGCCAGCTTCCTTTGGGACATGTGCAAGGGAAAAATCACAGTCAGATGGTGCCAGTTCCATTAAAGCATTGGGAAGACAGACTGCTCATCTTCAACCCCCAAATCTTCATCCTCAACCCCCAAATCTGGTTCATTCTCCAGAAAAAGAATCAAGGCAGAACAAACCATGAATGGTTTTCATTTACTCAGAAATATGAGACTCGCGCTGCTGCCTCATCTCTGACAGTGTTCTATGTTTGAGCCTAAAACGGGAAATCAACGAGACTTGTACAATGCTTCCCCTACGCTCCTTTCAGAGAAAATCAACAAGACTTGTATTCCTTTCCCCAACTCTCCTTTCAGAGGGAGGAAGTGGCTAGACTGGCCTTTCTGTCTCTGTGGCTCTGAATGAGATTAAAAATGGGAGTCTTATCTTTCACAGGAACTGAGCTCATCAAAAACCCACCAAATAATAGTAGAGTGAAGCAGGGGCTGGTGGTTGGAAGTGGATGAGTGTGGAGGTTAGTTTCACAGCTCAAAAGAAGGAAAGTTTAAGCTGAGCTGATGTATACTTATTCCCATGGGAATAAAAGACTCTCAGAACTAGATGGGCATTTATGATAATAGTGTAGAGCACTGCTTCTCAAACTTTGGTGTAAATTTGAATCACCTGAAGAGTAAAACACACACACACACACACACACACACACACACGCTCAGGATTATGGAAGTAGGACAGGACCTAGAATTCTACATAGCCACCAAATTCCCCAGGTGATTCGGACACCAACAACTGGACTTTAAAACCATCAGCTTTGGTGTCAGACAGACTCGGATTCATAGCTTTCCTCTGCTGCCTGCCAACTAGCTGCAAGATCCAGGGCCAATTCTTTAATCTAAATCCTGACCTATTCCTCTGTATACTGTGGCAGATAACAGGATCAACCTTACAGGATTGTGAGAATTAAATGAGACAATGCATAAAATACACAGAGCACAGTGCCTGGCACGTAGTGGACACCTGACACCTAGCAGCTGCTATTCTTGTGTTTATACTATTGCCAGTGGATCCAAACAGTGTTCAAATTCCCTCCCCAACATTCCCACTGTGGGATCCCATCTCTCCCTGAATTCTGTCAAGTGATGTAGACTTTGACACCTCACTGAGAAACTAAAAAGTTAAAAAGTTCTTTTTCTATGGATTTAAAATCTATGTCCTTTAAACTTTAACTGGATAGGTCTTAGATAGATCATGAGAGATACAAAAATATGACTAACTCCTCCTGCATGTAAGAATTATTCAAATATTTCTAAAATGCCAACGCAATCCCTCTGAGTTTTTCCAACACATATGCATCTAAATATGGCTGTTACAGTCCTATCACATGAAAGGCTATCAGTTAAACACCAAGTATCTTGAGAGTAATTTCTCCAGGTCTCTTGCTCCATCCTTCACAAGAGTAGGCTTTTAATTCAATTTTGGTCATTTCTGTCTCAACACACAATGAAGAGATGTCCCACAGAGGTCAAATCCAGTGCAATACAGGGAATAATTTTCCAAGGTTGAGCACCACTGATCATGAAACAGACAGTTTCAAGAGGTAAGGTAACAATCTTCCTGCCACAGGAGGTATAAAAGGAAAGGATAAACTTCAACTTAGGCTGGGCATCATGGCTCACGCCTGTAATTCCAACACTTTGGGAGGCCAAGGTGGCAGATCACTTGAGCCCAGGAACTGAGACCAGCCTGGGCAACATGGTGACACGCCATCTCTACAAAAATTACAAAAATTAGCCACGTGTGGTGGTATGTACCTGTGCTACCCAGCAGGCTAAGATGGGAAGATCACTTGAGCCCAGAGGTAGAGGCTGCAGTGAGCCAAGATCACGCCACTGAACTCCAGCCTTGGTGACAGAGTGAGACCCAGTCTCAAAAAAAGAAAGAAAGAAAAAAGAAAGAAAGAAAGAAAGAAAGAAAAGAAATACAAGCCCCAAACCCCAATGCCCCAAACTTAGAAGTGTTTTAGAGTTCATGTAGAACAAATTCCATTTTGATAGCATCCTCTTGGAAACATGAATCTCATGATCTAGATGTAGACTTCACAGAAGAACGATAGATGCCACACTCAAACAAGGACAATTTGAGGAGTGTTTATTTATAAAAGGTGACAGGTGTATAGGGATCACAATATAATACATCAGCAGGAGAGCTGTTTATAACCGATGGGACCAGAGGAATAAATAGAGGACGCAGTAACCAGAGCGCAAAAGAAGAGAGCTATGGAGAGGAGGCAACCTGAACAGAAGCAGCGGCTTTCTCTGGAAAGGTCCAGCCAGTCACAGACAACCTCACAGGGAGAGACCCAGAGGTAAAAATACCCTGACTGTACCTCACGCCCCTCCTCTGATCCCCTGTGGCAGCTCTCTCCAGCTGAATCGAACAACAAGCCAGAGGTGGCAAGTGATCTTTATGACAGACTTCACACAAAACACACTCTGGAAACAGAGAGCACAGTAGAGGAAGGTGGAGAGGGGAACTGGATCCAGGATTCCCGACCAAGAAGAGAAAAGTTGCCTTTTTCTGAGACAGTGTCCCACTCCGTCACCTAGGCTGGAGTACAGTGGTGCAATCGGCTCACAGCAGCCTCTGCCTCCCAGGCTCAAGCAATCCTCATGCCTCAGCCTCCAAAGTAGCTGGGACTACAGATGCCCCCCACCGAGGCCAGCTAATTTTTTGTATATTAGTAGAGGTGGGGTTTCACCATGTGGTGCAGGGTGATCTTGAACTCCAGAGCTTCGGCAATCCATTCACCTTGACCTCCCAGAGTGCTAGGATTACAGGCATGGGCCACTGCACTTGGCCAAGAAAAGTTTCTTTATACTCCTTGTTATGGCCATAATTTGAAGAAACGCACAGCCTAAAATGGAATTCCTCATTCACTAAATTTTCCTTTTTTAAGTTAGCTTGGGGAAAGAAAGGCACTCAGGAACAGGAATGCATCTTTTGGTTACAATGCTTTGGCCACAGGCGCACTGTTTTACCAGTGAAACAATTCCAGGTAGACATACAACAAGAAATAAAGCATTGGATCGGTCAGGCAATCGGGCAGGGGAACGCCAACGAAAGAAAAATGAGCAATTCTGCAGCTGATGACATTTCAAAATTTTATTCTTCATTTATTATCAAAAAGAAGTGTGTTTAAAAATGTATATGTGACCTTCTTAATCATAAATTTGAAAAGATATATAGCAGATTCTTTGCCTCTATCTGAGCTCTGCTGACGTTGTCCCAGCAGGAAATAAAAGGAAATCTGATAAGAGAGTTAACTTTAAAACTATAAATGAGTAGTTGGAGGCTTTGATATTTCCTTGGGGGCAGAACTCTCAACCAATCTCATTCCATTCAGGGTAAAGTAATATGGAAAGTGTTGTCTCAGGCACAGATCATTGGTTTTCAAAGAAATAATAAGAATAAAAAAAGCCTTGCTGCTTTTAAGAAAAATGGCATTTTATAGAAATGTTTGGTAGCTCTGAACACCTGTATTACAGAAAGAAAAACTAAGCCTCCCCAAAACACATATTTAAAAATTGGAAAGCTGACTGAATTGTAAAAATCAGATATATTACATCCTTAGTATTTAGCTGATGGTTGACGCTGTATGATCATGGTGATGATAATGTCACACAATAATTTTAATGTATGGACAGATGTTTTGGCAATTGGCAAAGACAGCTACAAAGTGGAAATGGAGGGGATATACGTGGAAGAAAATAAAACCCAAAGCCACAGTTTGGGGATCTATAGCTATTCTTTCAGAATTCTGAATTTAAGTTTTAAAAAGCCCTCTCAGTAACACAGAAAAATTGATATTCATCTCCATAGCCAAGTAATTTAATTTATCTTTTTTTTTTTTTTGAGACTGAGTCTCACTCTATCATGCAGGCTGGACTGCAGTGGTATGATCTCGGCTCACTGCAACCTCCACCTCCTGGGTTCAAGCGATTCTCCTGCCTCGGCTTCCTGAGTAGCTGGAATTACAGGCGCACACCACCACACCCAGCTATTTTTTATTTTATTTTATTTTTACTAGGGACAGGGTTTCACCCTATTGGCCAGGCTGGTCTCCATCTCTTGACCTTGTGATCCACCCGCCTCGACCTTCCAGAGCGTTGGGATTACAGGCGTGAGCCACCACACCTGGCCCCTCTTATATTTTTATCTCAACAAAAGAGAAACCCAAAACTGTGAACTGGGCAGACAAGACCCTTAAACTACGAACGAGACTGCAACTCAGTCTTATGCTCTGTACGCAACATTATCCTCGCGTTTCGGAAAACATCAACTACCCCCTCCCACCACACTATTCCTCAATACTCTGTATTGCTTGATGCGTCCCTCTTCTCTGCTGGTCACCTCCTCCTTATCCTCCAAGGCTCAATGTAAGTGTCACATCTCCTCGGAGGCTTCTCCCTGCTCCTCTACACAGAATTATAATTTTCTCCTCTTGCTTGACTCATCCATTGAACGTGTACATGTATCAGTCTCTGCTAAATGCTAGAAGATCATGTCTTTTTGACCTTAATCCTCATAGATCATGAAGACTAATGGCAAAGACAGGCATTAAACAGATAAATACAGAGATAAACACAAAAACCACAAAGATGACAAACACCAAGAAAAAAATACTTGTTGCTATGTAAGAGCCAGAGCCTGGTTTGAACCCTGGCAGCAGATCAGGGAGGGTTTTGGTGCCATGTCAGCTAAGCACTTGTTGAGTCAAAATGCAGTGATTCAACTCTTTCACCCACTCTGACAAGAACCTCTTGGGAGAAGGGCTTTTGACTCTTTGCACCTACTCCAATGTATTGCTGAGTGTCTGGCACATGGCTCAATAAATTTGTTTCACATATACTTAAAAGTCTGCAATTTGAAGTGTAGAAAAGATGGTCCTCTTACTCTGAACACAAATAACCACTTTAGAAGTAGATACATGCAAAGAAAGAGAAGAAAACACCTGCATAAAATTAGCT